TAAAGGAAACAGATTGCTCCTCATGCTGCATACTATCACCTTCAGGTTGATGTTCGCTTTCCATCACTTTGGAAGACACAACATGTGACTTGCTAACATGAGGAGATCCAGTAGATGGTGCATTTTTCTTGCATCCTTCAGCAGTGAGAAAGTTACACTCCTCATTTCCCAACAAAGTAGAAGATTCCTCCAAATTAGTAAATGTATTTCTAACTCCAAGTTCTTTAACATCTTCTGCCTCTGAAGTAACATTAGATATAGAATCCTTACTAACAAGATTATCACTTTGAAAAGCAATCCCACTTAACTTTTTATCATCCATACTAATGTCTTTGTTCACTGTGATGTTGTCCTCCCCACCTTTACCAAAATCACCGGGTAAGCCACTTGTAGTTTGATGAATATCATTTATTTTATCATGGACATCTGGATTCCCCAGAATTATAGTATCATTGTATGAAGAGCAATCTTCAATTTGAACTTGAATCCCAGAAACACATGGATCTCCTCCATTTTGGTTAACCAAAGTTTCATTGTGGGAAGCATTCACTTCTGCTTGATTTAAATCACTATTTTCCCTTTCAGTCTGTAGGCTTTTATCAGTAGTTGTTTCAGCACTTACACTGTTAGCAACATTTCCAGAAGACGTTCCTGCCACTTGTAATGTACATTTAAGATGGTCTATCTCTCCTTCTGTTGTCTCACTAGACCTAGAAAACTTATCCAGAAACTGATCAGCTTGTACACCTATGATGGGATCTTCAACACAGTCTATCTTATCATCCTCCTGTAGCCTAGGTTCGGTTTCATGGGTCACATTACCCAACATATTGCCACCATCTGACTCCTGAACAATAGCGTCTACAGGAAGATTATGCTCTTGACCAACCGATTTTAACAGCATTTCAACAGATTCTGAAGAAGTTGCCTCAGACCAGACATTGTTGCGCCCAGGGATGGAGCAAGACTCGGTAGCACTTGAACTGAACTCTATTCCACTACTTCCCCGAGAAAAATCCTCAATCCACTGATTATCTTCCTGACAAGGAATTCCAAGAAAAACTTCGTTTTCAACTAAACTGTCAAACCTTAAATGCCCCTGTAGACTGTCATCAAAATCAAATCTGGGAAGAGCAAAAGGGCGCAAAACAGAAGAGACTTTTGAGCTATCTTCACCAGCTAGGTGAAGATTCTTGCTTTGGTAATCATTGTCATTATAGTCCATCTGTGTACCCCTGCAAAATGAAAAGTATTATAAACATGTGTGTGTATGTATGTATATATGTACGTATAAGAGGAAAATAGTGGCAAGGGTATTTACATGCGTTACATGGACTCTACCTTGAATCCTATGAATTAGGTTTTCTCATGAAACAATCTGCATGTAAAATGTGTGGATATGAATGCACAAAATTTTATTTCTAAAACATATTATCCAATACCAGCAAATGGGGTTGCAATTCAGATCCAGGCTCAAATGTTCATGTTTCAGTTTAAAATTTATCGTGTAATAATTTGGACTAGAGTCCAAATGTTTGACTCAAAATGCATTATTTCTAGTCAATATGAATATTGAAGGTTTTTTTAATGGAAGAACGGCTAGAGGCTAAAAGATTGCATCGCTGGCATAAGGTATTAACACAAGTCATTGAGTTTAGGGAGTCAAGACAGGGTTGGTGTATGGTATTAACACAAGCTATTAAGTAATTATCCATGTTTATGAACAACAATCATAAACTCTCACGCTATCGGTGGGTATAGAAGCAAATACAAATTCTCAAAATGTCTACTATCTAATTAAGTGATCAATGCCAGCATGTAACATTTCAGGTTTCCACATTTAAACTCTCATTTTCTAATAGAGAACTAGAGAATATTTCAAGTCATTGTTCAACTTTATCTGTACTATAAACTGACACGAGTTCCATCGCGGTTCAAACTTAAATCTAGATTCAAGCAAAGTGGACAACTGGACATCAAATGATTTATTGTGCCTCTGAAATGGATGCAAGCATGCAACTTTTTCAATTGAAAAGTATATTATCTCTGAAATTAAAATAAGATTAATCAATAGAATCCTGTGTGATGCTCTGAAATGAATGCAATTGCCAATAAAAGAAAATTGAAAAGGAACTTAAGGCCATCAACTGCATCTTAGATTATCAGTATTACATTATTAATAAGGCCGCAAAGGTTAATATGCATAATAATATTACATAATCCACCAAAGCCCTAACTCTTCAAACGACTTCACACCCTGGCCAATATAACCTAAAAAATGGATATTTTTCCAAAGTCATCATCATTTAAGCATGAAATCTACAAAACACACTGACAGTTCGAATCCTATTCCCTTCATTTCTACATTTCTACCACGACACCTAACAAGGAGCGCATTTATCAAAGTGAAACCATCATTTCAGCATAACATATGCATAAACCCTATGAATGCTTCGAGATATGACTAAAATTCAGAGTCATTAATATCCAAGACACTGAATTTAAGCATCAGCTCAATCGAAAAAAGGAGGAAATGAACAGTACCAGAAGAAGTAAGTCTAGAGACGCTACCTCCCTCCATTCGAAGACGAAATCCCGATCAACTCACCCCGACGGTACGGCCACTTGATGCTTCATAACAGCACCAGCTAGGGTTTTTACGAAATGGTTGACAAACCCTAGCTCAACTCGCACCTCAAAAGTTTAAACTGCTTCGTTTCAGCGAATCTCCGGAGCCTTAAGCACCAAAAGGAAGTAGATAAAAACAGAGGGAAACTGAGTGCAGGCCGGGCTATAGATACAGGTGTCCTGTGCATATATAGAGAGAGAAAGCCAGCGACTGGGTATGGGAGGAGTGCGAGTTCTGTATCAGTAGCGTAATTGGGCTGTGTTTGGAGAGAGAAATACAAGACCGCTACTCCTATAGTCCTATGAGTTTCATGAACCCAAAATAAATAAATAAAATATTACCTTTATTTCACTTTTTAAGCTATTTCTTATTCCACATAAACATTACACGTCCAACCAAAAATCTAAAACAATCTACAATATAATTAGAATATTTTTTCTTTTAATAGATCGACAAGTTATTACACGTGAGTATAATTTATTTAGTATACATTTTCAAATAATAACTACAATTTTCATTAGGCTTGTTTGGTTATTGACGAATCTACCAAAATTTTGACGGATCCGCCGTTTTCAACATTTTGACTATGTCAAAACGCTGAAAACTTTGTTTGGTAAATGGCAATTTGGAGCATTTGATGCTCCAAACCGCCAACATCTGAAGCGCTACTATTTGCAGTGTTTCAGATTGGCGTTTTTGGCAAATGCCCAAAACGCCCTTAATTCTTTTTTTTTTTTGTTTTTTAATTAACATAAGCCTTAGAAGCCTGAGGCTTCTTTTTTCTTGTCCCTTTGATGTGGTAATTGGATGTGCAGGTGTAAATAAGGGGGCGTTGAGCTCCCCTTTTAATGGGGAGCTCAATGCCCTCTTTTAAGATTTACTCTTTGCATTATATTTATCTATCTATACATTATGCATCCAGTACGCACGTATAATGCACAACACCACTAGACACACCTATTGCATACTCACATTTGTTTTTTTTTTTTTTTTTAAATCTTATTATCACATAGTATATATTAAATAAAATGAACAAATATTACATTGTAACGGGGCCAGTAATACTTAAAAAATAAAATGAAAAAGAAAATAAAGATTAAAATGGTATACTTTAGAGACACCTATTGAGCATGTGCAACGTGTCACGTTTATTGAGCACGTGCAACGTGCCACGCTTATCGAGCACATGTGTGTATTCACATTACTAGCTTAAAACCAATGCACGTTACTTCTTATACAAATAAATTTAATTTTTATTGTTTAATTCTACTTTTAATGTAGTTGCAAAAGATATACATCATATATATTAATACTAAAATTAGTATTATGAAAATTTAAATTAAAAATAACTTCAGTTGAATCTCATTAAATGAACCAAATACATAAAATTTGACAAAAGAGAGTAATTTTTTTGCAATGTGACTAGTTTGATTGCTCGTTGTGGGGGTAGCATTCTTAAGGGTTTGATTTATTGACATGTCAACATAAAATTGAATGATTTAGAATTATAAATTACAGTTGTTGTCGTATATTGACTAACATGTTCTACACATGTAGTGTAAAATGTAAATTTTAGCAGATTTTGATAGCTGAGGGGTAAAAACTATCAATGTATGAAAAATTAAAATATTATGGAGTAATAATATTCATCTGAACATAGGACTGAATGGTTTAGAATTATAAATTACAATTTTGTCGCATATTGACAAACATGTTCCACACATGTAATGTAAAAGTATATGTAGATTTTGTTAGCGAGGGGTCAAAACTACCGTTGTATGAAAAAAAAAATTAGAATATTAATAATATTCATGTCAATATAAAATTGAATGTTTTATTGTTGTAAATTACAATGTTGTCGTATTTTGACTAACATGTCCCACACATGTAATGTCAAAGTAGACTTTAGCATATTTTGTTAACAAGAGGTCAAAACTATCACGGTATGAATTATTTAAAATATTAATAATATTCATGTCAACATAAATTGAATTGTTTAGAAATGTGAATTACAATTTTGTTGTATATTGACTAACATGTTCCACACATATAATGTGGAAATAGATTTTAACAAATTTTGTTATCAAGGGGTCAAAACTATAAATATATGAAAAATTTAAAATATTAATAATATCCACACTAATAATCTATGAGTTAGAAATTGTTATTTTGTATATATTTAAATACATGAAATACTTGCAAATTATTATTTTTCTGCAAATGTAAGTTGAACCAAACAAACCGCAAGCTTTTGATGAAAGTCAAGCCCAAATGTAAAACCAAAGCATGGCCCAATAGTCTCCGGATCGGGCTGCGGGCCTGCGGTTTTCATTTTACTTTTTGGAAAATAGATTTATAGATTTATTTATTTATCGAAACGAAAATAAAATCGTCCTTCATTCTTCTCCGGTCAATCTCCGTAGAATCTGTAGTTCCTATTCGGTAGCTGATCTCAGTGTTAGCTGCAGCAAACGCAACTACCTGTAAGTATACGATAACACAACTTCTGGATCAGAATTCTAGGGCTATATATGTATATATGTATGTATCGTGAAGTTTTTGCTGCAATTTAGTTGATATATATAGGCGTGATTCGATGAAATGTGTGTGGCGGTGAATTGCAGATGGTGACAGTGTTTGAGGTGGAGCCGCCGAGCCCGTTGAGGTACGTGATTGGAGCCGCCATCATGATGGCCGGCGTCGTTTTGCCTCTCGGCTACATGATGTTCCGCAACAAGCGTGTGCCTTCCTCTTCTTACTCCAAACAGACGTAGGTGTGCCTTTCTCTTATTTTTACTTTCGATTTGTCGTCGTTGTAGCCAGATTTCGATGCTGAATGAGATCCCAGGCTTAGAAAATAATTTGGAAATGAGCTTATTTAGTCATTTTGATCCAGATAAGGTATGGCCCAATTTAGATTGTTTAGTTTGTTTATGGTGATAAGATTGCAGAATGTGTATCAGATCAAGTTTGTATGATTGTTTTTTTGGGTGACAAGGAAAACCTGAGGGTGTGCAGGGGTAAACTCATCTTTGTAACCCTAGCAGGTGAAGAACTACAAGGAGATAAACAAACTTAGGTTGCCCATAGCTAACCAGCTTAAACCAAGAAGGCCAATAGTGAACAACCTCACCAACTTGGCTGGAGTTTTCCATTTTGACCTAATATCAAGTTTGTATGATCGTTTTTGTGTAGAGTATGGTGTGTGAATTTTTACACACCCAGCCAGGTGCCTAAAGTCTGATTACATGTTCCTGATGTGGCTTTGGTGTTGCAGGAACAAGGTTTTGATATAGAGGTGTGCAAGAGGAAACTCAGGAAAGTGTCAAAAGCTTCTTTTTATGCTTTGATGGGGGGTAGCAAAGAGGTGGGAGGAGAGCTCTGCTGCATATTCTTGTAAATGCATTAAAATCCATATTGTAGTGTGTTCAATTGATTAGACATTTCAATGGATATGGGTGTTGATTCCTAGAGTTTTAGTTTGGTTCTGTTTTCATGACTGGGGTCACACGATGGCTCTTACTGCTACTGATCAAATAAGAAAGAAAGGAATTATTGATGTTTAACCGTGAATTATTACCTTGTTCCATGTCTGCTCATATTTGCAATTCCTTGATGATGGATTTCTTAAACTTGTTATTTTCCTTGCCAAAATACATGTATGCATTAGCAAGGTTTCCTTGCATCAATGATATTTCTGAATCTTAAACAAATCTGATGTCAATCCTATTCGTGTATAATTGATCAATAGATTATTGTTTGTGTGTTTCCTTTGGAAATGGAAGGTCTGTTTTGAGGGAAAAAAATTAACCACCACACTATTAACAGTTCCCTGTGATCTTGAATGGATTCTATAAAGTTGCTAAAACTTTACTAATAGGACTCTATAATATCATGTATGAAAGTTTCTGCATTTTTTTTTTTTGACTCTGCTTATTTAATGCAGCCTTGCTCTGACAATAGGGTGATCTGCACTTCTCTATTGTGAGAAGTTGCTCTATGTGAAGTGCATTGTTTTTGCTTTTAGGAGTTCTATTGTTGGGGCCTTGAATTGGTTCTTTAACTTACACATTTCTCTTTTCTGGGTTCATTCTGATCTGATTGAAGTTTCTTAGGCCTAAACTTAAAATTTTTGTACAAAGGGCTATTGGGGCCTTGCCAAGTTGCCATTCAATTTCCTTGCTATTGCATTCTTGATTAAATTCTTGAATTTACTTCTTGCATTATAGCGAAAAGAGTATATTGGGTTTAAAGAACATGTTGGAAGATGACAAGCGGCTACAATACATGAAAGACTTAAACCCGCCAATCAACTGATCTATGTCGTTTTGCTGCCGTGTATCTTTGCAAAAACTCAGTTCGTTACACAACCTGACATAAAACTAATGTTTCCCACAAGAATTGGTAGTTGCTTATTCTGATATTGGCTGCTAAGAGTCGTGCCACCTTCCTAGTGCTTCTCCCATCCGTATTCTTTCCCCTTTTTTGATGCAAAACCTGAAGTCAGATGGTGATGATATAGGCGCTTGGAACACCAGGACCACTGTCGAGCCCATATTAAAGGCAGCTAGCTGCAAGGTTGTCAAGGGCAAATGTGAGTTTGAAGAGATCACTACTGAAACATAGAAGGATAAATCTAAAAAACGCACTGGTAAATTTCTAATTATCACACCAAGAACTGACCCTATTTCCAACAGCCTAGAATGTTTCAAACTTCTTAGCTAGTGTGATTGTTTGTATGATGAATTGTCTGTCCACACACTGATTTTCAAGAAATACGGTGTACTAGTTTATAATGCGATGTTCTTCCAGTGCTACTTTACCAAGTTATATATAAAGTTTTCCGCTGTGAAAATGGCTTAATTTTACAAGGTTGTACCTCATCTCCTTTCTTCATCCTGATACCAGTGCCATCAGGTTCATACACCCTTTCTTCAGGAGGCTCTAAATGCAGTTTGTTCTTCTGGGGCTTATTTGTCCGGAGTGTTGGTTCAATGAAAAGCTGTAACAAAGAAAAAAGTTTATTATGAGTTCAAAACGTAGCCAACATATTGCCATGTAGAAGATTGATTAAACACACACTGAAAACAGGTTTAAGGCTTCCTAACCTCAATTGAACCGATATTTGTAGCACCAATTGCCGCCATTGCCATAAAACCTTCTTGCCATCGACCTTCTAACACCACCTGATCATTTGATTTGGAAAACAAAGAGAAGAGAGAATATTATACTAGAAGACTATGAATGCAGTACATTAGCTAGCATATTGGCACTAAAACCTACCCTTTATTCATTAATATCAAGTAGAATATAAATAAATAAATAAATAAATAAATAAATAAATAAATATATATATATATATATATATATATATATATATATATATATATATATATATATATATATATATATATATATATATATATATAATTAAGAAAAACATCAGAAGAGGAATAGAAGACTCAAAGTATGAACCAAGTGCATCAAGGAGAAGGGATACCCTTTCATTTTCAACATAAAGATTTCTGATAGTTCTTGTAGCGCGTTCATTCACGGGAAAGAGACGACCTACAAAGCAAATGAGAAAGACTAAAGACATTGCAAAGACAAAATCTAAAGCCAGCATATCAGAATCTTATCCTCAAGGGCAACATATCAAATACTTCATAGAGGCTTCAAGGAACCTTTTCCTCCATGTTTTTTTCTGTACATACCTGAGAAATGTCGACGAAGGAGTACATTCCAATCAGCTGGTGAGTGTATGCGATGATAATCACCAGGCTTCAAGTAAATTACACAGTAAAAGAGACCCTTCATTGGGCTGCATGACAATTTTGAGGAAAAAAAATAATCAAAGTTAGCATGCTGCATTGTGCTGGGAAGAAATGAACCCCTTCGGTTGGTTTTCTCATACAGAATGAGAAAAGAATACCAATTATTGATAAAACCACAAAATTTAGCCTACTATATAACATATTCACATGTCAGCAGCTGCTAAGCAGACAGTGTCTCAGGGAATACCAACACATTTGAATGTGGTTACCATGCTGGTGCAGGATCTCTGACTTTCGGAGAAGCCAGTGAAACTCTCCACCATGACTTTTTATTTGCATCCGTGTCAGAGCTTTCTTTCTCACTGTTTTTTTGTTCAGAATCATCTTCAGCAGTCATGGAAAGGAAGGAGGTTGCACCAAGAAGTTTAGGAACGGAGTAAGAAAACCCTTTAACTTGCTCAATCATACCCCCTGCTTCTTTCAACTCCCCAAATCTTAGAATGGTACCATCTACAGGGCTAACCTATAATGACATAATACAGAGTAAATATTAAGGAGATCTTAGGAATCATTACAGTTGGTGGACAGAAATTGAACAACTAAAACCCAAAAAACTGGTTACCAGTTACCAGACAACACGGGTCCGAATCAACAGGCCTGGAACCCTCTTTCAAAGTGCGGACAAAGAAATCCCTCAAAGATGCGTATTCTTCTAAAGGTAAAGCTGCTTCTTCTAAGTCTGAATTCAACCAACAAGTATTGCCTTACACAGCTTATCTTAGTGAAACAATCAATTGACAGCAACAACTCAGAATCGTATAAATAACTCAATAAGCACTTAGGAGTCGGGTATACAGCATACTTGAGTGAAAAGCCCGAGCCCACGCTCTGTATACATATGGACGCAGCCAAACTGGAAATTCCTGTTCGAAGATTGTTTAGAAACCAAGTGAGTAATGTATGCCAACTTTTTATGCTCACTCAAATATACAATTACTCACCACACCAGTCAAGAAACCCCAGAACCTGGAAATGGAGCGCAACGGTAGCATTCCCATAAATGATGCCTGTCACTAAGAGACTCAGTATTCCATAGAAATTAAGAACAGGAAAACAAAGAATGAACTCTGTAATTGAAACAAACAGTTCAAGTATGTTCAAAGTTATGTGTAGTTTACTTTCACATCAGGGTGGAATTCCAGCTCAATTCCTTTCTCTCTTGCTCCTTCAATCTGCAATCCAGATGTGGGAGATTCAACAGGCAATCAGCACACCATAATTTTGCCAGATTTGAAATAAAATTCATGCACTAGTATTAACCACAGACCTAATAAGTATACAATTTTATAAATATGATGTGAAATGTGAATAGCTTCATGGGGCAAAAAAACAGAGAGAAACCTTGTTATCATCATAGAGACGGCGAGCATGAAGAGCGCCTAGCATTACTATGGTTGCCACGGTCGCACCAGGCAAAAAGAAACTTTTACCTGCACACGGATTGAGTTCAAAATCAGCTCATACGCCGGGAGCAGAAAGCAAATTCTCGTAAAATTTCACATCTATGCAGGTTTTAATCCTTTCTGAAACTTTTTGTAATTAAGAAGCTATCAGTTGAAGACAGGCAGCGATGTTGTGATAGGATTTCATTTCGCAATCAATGTTTCTCAACAGCAAAGCTTAAGCAGGCGAATGGAAGGGTGTACCGTGAGAGCTGCTTCCGCCATTGGAGGAAGCTCGAGCTTCGGAGGATTGTATCTTCCGAAGGAAGCTAGTGAAGTGGAGACGACGCTGGGAGAGATGACTGAAGCGCGTGCAGCGAGTGAAGAGAGGAACCCTGTGAGTGGCCCTAAACTTCATCTTCTTCTTACGTACTGCAAATTATGTGTTTATTTGTGAAATTTGTTTATGTTACCACTCAAAGGCGCGATATTATATTCATACATAGATATAGGGTTTAGCATTGGTGGGAATAGAATCGGGTTTTCCCGACCCGCTTTCCCGACGGATACTAAACTTCGATCCATTTTTATAAATTTTCTCCCCTCATGAGCTCCATGGGTCATGACAGTTATTTTTTTTTTTTTTAATTATTTTCTCTCGAATTATTTTACTCATGTCCATGGAGCAACACCATAAAAAGAAATTGTTTCAACTTGTCCGAATTAGGCGCTCAACTCGATCAAGTCAACACCTAGAGTGCCTATTCGGCCACTTAATCAGTCAGCCGACTAAAAATCAGAGCTAAAATCACCTCGACACAACACAGACTCTGTTTAGTCCTACTACCTAGCACCTTGTCGACACCTAAGCAGCCGCCTAGACAGATTTTTTACAACACAAATTCTATATGCCCAAAGTATGGGCTTGTGACAAATTTTCCTAATGTTTGAGTTGTTTCCAACTTCCAAGTAGTAAGCAGAAGCTTACTAGGCACAAGTATTGAGTTGACTTCACCATCAAACATGTTGCCTCTATAACTCTATTAAGATTAATGATAGGAAAAAACGGTCCACTACAAAATTCCCTTGGCTGCTATATCTTAGCACACTCAATTCACAATTCAAACAAACTGCCACAAAATAAAATGACATGGAGAAAGCTATCACCGGAGGTCTGTACAAGCTGCACAAGATCTTTACAAAACCTTTCTTCAGTAAGTCGTGGTTCTCACTTCTCAGGCTTGTATATGTACGCTGGTTGATGCTGCAAAGGCCCTTTTTAGTGCACAAAGCCCGGCAATGATAAGCATCATCATTACTACCTTCTTCAAGGCGAGCATCCTAAGGTTAACCCGGAGGCCGTGTTTTTGCATGAACTTAACTCCTGCACAATGCAGAGTGCTGAGCCAAGATAGGAGAGAACATAGCACCACTTTCGTTGTTTCTGCAAGTCCGTACACGTTCCCTGCATCGCTTGACAATTCAACGTAGGAACAAGCAGGGCTCTCGTGGCTGTTGTCGACTGTGTTTAGCCCAAGACTCTCGTTGATCCAGCCCGATAGCTTCACAAGCAGCTTTGCAAGCCATGCGATTTCATCACTGGAGGTAGGCCGCTTCATCCAGTCACCCCTGTACTTGATATCTGTCACTGTTTGGTTACCGAAACTTCTGGGCTTGAAAATCTCATCCCGTGAGTGTTCAGACATCTTCGTCTCTGGCCTGCTTATGGACTTCAAAATAGGGCAACCACACAAGACTCCTAGCTGGGATTTTAGTGTGTTCAAACATTCTAAGTTCCGTGCAAGATTGTCACCACCCACCGCCTGCAGCTCAGATTCTGCTCGCAACACAAAGAGCTGAAAACGAGATATTACATATTAGTAATTATGACACAAAAGGTACCTGAAAGATTACAGAATAGCAAATTCTAGTTTAGCTTGCTAGTTGCTAATAACCTGAAGCAACTCCAGTCCACCGTCTTCATTGTCACTGAAAAGTCTTAAATCTTTGTTCCAGTTTTCATGCAGAAACGACCCATCAGCATCACTCTCACATAGGCCATCCTCCCAGTCCTGGGAAACAGATTTTGGCAACTTGATTAACACGTATGCAGTATATATGCATAAGTTTGTTAAAGGAACACAAGACAGAAAACACAACATACCTGTAATTGTTCGCGAATTGCAGGTACAAACCTATTTAAGGTATTAAGCAATGATTTGGAAGATCCATATGGTTTGGAATGGAAAACAATGTCCACATTTTTTATAAGGTCCATGAGTTCCGCAGAGGAGGTTAATATGTTTATCACCTGCACATATGAATACAACATTCTTAATGACAAGTTCAAAATATAAACAAGTTATGTTTAGCAATAATAGACAATAGGTTTTTGCATGTATGAATAAGTCCTCTACAAGCATAGAATCAAATTTCAGAACATAGTTTTGGACATGACATTTACATAGTATCCATCAGTTTACACCTACAGAAGTGAAGAGGAAAAAACTTCACTTTAAATCCCTGGTAACTATAGCCGATTTAAGATGCACATAACCAAGGACATCATATTGTAACCATTGGAATCAATATTATGGTATGTTGATGAAACAAGCATTAATGGTCATACCCATTACTCAGAAACACTGAACGGAAAATGAGTGATGCACAAAAATAATGAGCTAATCTTCTTTCAACCAAGATGTTGAGGTCTAACCCGAAAATGGAAATTATGGTGTACAACTAGATCATTGAACTCAGAATTTAAAGTATATCCTCATATTGAAATCCACCCATCTCCATTGGAAACATATTGTTTTCTCCCCATAATGCTTTTGTTCCAGCAATTCTAAACCTGTAAATTATATTTTTATATTTCCCCAAACCAGAAATTTCTACAGTTAAGTTCAAAACTGGAGTGGAAACTACAAGGAAATAAGAATCCAGTTAACCACCAGAAGTCCCACCTAGATAACAAGGAAAGCCAAACCCAGATTATGCTGGCCAATTAATGGGGGTTCAATTGCAGGATACTTTATGCAGTTTTCAAGTACCTTCTCTTGAATGTTAATTAAAGAAAGTCCATAAATGCTAAAAGCACTAAAGTAAAGAAAGGTATCACGAAGTAAAAACTACAAGGAGGACTAGTAATCAAAAGAATAAACCTTTGAAACCATTTGAACAGTTAACTCTGGATCTGTATGTAGAAACTTGTGTGCAAAACCAATGAAATGCATAACCAGAGAGCTGTAGAACAAATAGTTAGCCAAAACAAAACCCCGCCAAGCAGAGGAATATTTGCATGGAAATGACTGAGTGCCCTTTTGCATAATTTCAGCAGGCAAGCCCAAACATGTATCAAGCTCAGCAAACTGTTCCAAACTAATTGTCCAAGGTTCCAGGTAATTAACCCAAAGAGTGAATACTTGAGATACATTTTTTACAGAGCACTCCACAGGGCAATACAGAAATGTCCTCAATATAAATCTGTATAATGGCCTTTGAATCCATGAGTCCCAAGAACTAACAGTTTGAACCCTGAAAGCAGCATCCCTTGATTTAGCAGTACTAACTGAACCAGAAAGTCTCTGTCTAGGACTCTCAACATAATCAACCTGACCATTCTCATCAGTGAGCTTGAGTGAATTCAAATTTAGATACTTCACAAACACATTTACCACCTCACCTAAGCCAGAAGTTGGGGGAGTCTCACCCAAAAATGACCGAAAAGGGAGTGGCACACCAAATGATTTGCACATAGTCACAGGCAATGGTGAGAAATCATTGTCCACTAACCAAAAATGTATCATTGTATTGACCAAAAACTCTGCTCGTTCAACAGTACAGACATCATATGCTGAAGAGTAATGGAGAAGTGAACTACGATATGGTTGTTGGGTATCATGCATTGGCACATACACCCGAAGATAAGCATATAGTAGACGCATATAGAGATTCCCTTCATTTTTCTTCTCTGTTGCCTGTTTCGTGCTCAACAAACCTGGAATTGAATAAGCCCAATTCTCCAACCTAAATCTTTTGCTTCTCCTAACTCCAACAGTTTGAGGCCCCTCGCTATTGCCCCTGCAAACAGGGTAATACGCAAACCAGAACATGTAATACTCAAAAATATTCAACTGAACCTGGAACGTCGAACCCTTAATTGAATCCTCCTTCAGCCTATTCTTGAACAATGGGCACAAGTCAGCCAAAATCCCAGCATCTCTCTCACTTTGGAGCAGATAGCGAGCCCATTCCGGTAACCTCTCAACAGGAAACACATATTTAACCAAAGACAAAGCATCAGCATCCGCAATTGATGATAGCAACACCCCATTCGGAGATAGTAAACTGAAAATCCTGCCTGTAACCAAGCATATAGATAGAAATGAACATCAACAAGCATTAAAGTAGCAAACAACGGCAGAAAATCACAGAAATGTCCTAATCAAACAATTTCCAGTAACTGTCTCGTGCAGAATTCAACGTCATGCATACGCGTAGAATATATAAACTAAACACTCTAGCAATTCAGGATAAAATTCAAACAATAAGATGTTCAGAACCATGCCTGCAAGCTCGGAATCGTTCGATAGAGACGCAATATCGATCCAGCCGGACGGAGACACAGGCTTCTGAGCTGCTGCCTGCGGAGCGTCGTCGAAGCCGAAGATCTTACAAATTAGGGTTGGAAAAGTGATGGAGAAGAACCAGCGGGTCTGGTCCGCAGTGTACTTGTGGAGGAACGCCTCCACCTCCGCACACGCCGTCACGATCTGCGGCGGGGACGCCGCGCCGGCGACGACGGTCGCCAAGTCGGCGGACTTCGTCTGCGTGTCCGTAGCATACGAGCGAGAAAACATCTCTCTCTCTACGTATACGTATACGTATTCGCGCTCCGTACGTATGTATACCGCGGTAATGAAGTGCGTGTTTTCACTGTTTTGTACTGTGAGTGAGTGAGGGTTTTAGCGGAGATTTTAAATGGAAGAGACGAAACAGGAAAATGGCGCCTTTATATATACTCTGAAAGAAGGTGAAAACGCAGTAGCATCTGGAAGCCGGTGGGGTGGTGACGTGGCCGTGCGGGGCGTAATTAGCGGTTTATTATTATTATTTATTTATTTTATGTGGGTCCCACGGCTGGTTTCGTAAACATTAAGGTGAAATTCTAGTAGTCTCTCCAAATACAAATATATTAAGAGAAAATGGTCAAATAGGCCCCTAAACATTTTGCTAAAGGTCAATTAACCACACAAACTTTTGAAAAGGTCAATTGAACACATGAACACATAATTTTGAGTCATTTAATCCCATTAACCAGTAACTTTTACCTGGTGAACCGGTAATTGACACCGTGGCGTGACACATAAGCGTTGGAGTGGGTACTTGGCTGTCACATAAGCATAAAAAAATTAA